AGATATATTTAATTGTTTTAAAAATCGTGTGAATATAAGTGATCCTCTTTATTTTGTACAAAATTCCAACACTCGTTTTAAATGTTAATTTATATATTTTACATTTATATTAAGCATAAGTTACTTTCAAAATTCTTGAGCGCATTAGAGATATATTTTGAAATTCTTGTAAAGGTTACAAACACACTGCGAAACGATACCGGGCAAGTTCTTAGGTGCTGCAGAATTATTCTTTTCAAATTCAGTGCTCTTACCATTAAGAGTGTAATACACCATTCAATGCATGGCAGCGAAATTAATTACCATTTTGACCAATGCTTAAATTGCAAATTCAAATGCAATTCAAAAAATATCGTTTTAATCATATGAAAAATGTTTTACTGTCCATATTAATCCTCTTTAAAGAAACGAAGAAATTTTTGTGGACTCTGTACTGTGAATGTGAACGATTTTAAAAAGAGCAGCGATTAATCTCTAGTACTGATTGAAAGACTCTTCTGCATTCCTTCATCAAAATCCTTCCAATTTCACGAGTCACTATAGGTGTGTTGTTTCTATAAGTTTCCTTAACAAAAATATCTTTCATTTTGACTTGTACAAGTGCACAAACTCGATAAATGCACAAATATTGTAATTTAAAATGTTTAAAATGAAGGAAGCAAATTTTCTGCTTAACATTCTCAGTCTAGAACTCACTAATTAGATATTTCAAGTGCAAATGAATTAGCAAAAGATAATACAAATTATTGCTATGACAAGTAATGCAGCAATCTTAATGAGTATATATCGGGCATTAGCTCGAATATTTTTAAAACAAAATATCAAAAATCTCTTAATATTTTCATTCTAGATTCTTCCTTTTCCTTTTTTACAATCCTAAAATTTCACTTTTGAAGAAAAAAGCGTAAATTTAAAAACTGATGATATTTATTACTATAGATTTATGAGAAGAACCAAGCATTGCATCTGTATCTGTAGTTCAATGATCTACTTAAACTGAAATCCAGTTTTAAGTATGACCTGTAGTGTATCAAGAATAATTTTCAAGTAGCAAATTTAAGATTATTGAGAACAACTAGGGAAACGAACGAAATAACACTCGAAGAGGCGTTAGTAATATCTTAACGAAATGTCCAGCCGCGGCATGACAGCTTACCCTCAAAGCGGGTTTAGGGTTGCCAGAAAATGGCAAGGGAAGGCAGGGTTGTCAAATTTGGCGATAAATAGCTCATTTGGCCACAAAATTGGCGATATACCTGAGACGGATGGAGAACCTTCTGAAACAAATTCTTACCGGTTTGGACCAGAATGTTCTCAAAAGCAGCCCAAAAGCTATATAAAACGTGCGTGTACGCGGAGTACTAGTCAGTGAGTCAGTCAGTGTCTCGTCTAGCGAGTTGATCGTTAGTGTTGATTTGGTCGGCGAGATTATCGCGAGTCTAGAGAACACATCGTCGAGTCTATCGAGTGCATCGCGAGTTGTAGCGTGGAGAGTCTTTAGAGTGCCTAGAGTTCCGAGAACGACCGAACCGAGTCGGGAGCTCTACTCTGGTGCTTTGCCGTGAAGCTGTCTTCACCGTTACAGCTTGATAGCCTGGAGGCTGTGTTTTGCTGATTGTTTCAGAGTGTTTATAGTAGATTTTCGACGACTCTAAACGGGACTTTGTAGCTGTCCTGAGTAATACTGGCTAAATAAATTGTGTTTTGATACTTCATCAAGTGTCGTCGTTAATCACTACAAGTCCAAGAGCCCGTACAAAACGCAACAACTGCAACATTATAAACAGAAATCTCTGATAAAATTTACGAAATAAGCAAATGTATTTGTTATTTGTTTATAAATATAGGTTATTATTTGCAGAAATAACACTGGTACTTTAAGTTACAAATTATTATCAGAGCTACGCCTTTTTTTTTTTTTTTTTTTTTTTGTTTGTTTCTAATAGCAATGCTTGTCAAGTTAAGGTAAAGAAAATCAGACAGGCAAATACTGCTTAAATGCGTAAAAAGGTAAAATTGTTTCTACAACTAAAATAATATGCACATTTTCTGCTCAGTAATATGCATTTAGACAAATATTAACAAAGATCCCAAACTGATTCTTATATTCTGCAACTGGGCTGTAAAATTTTGCAGTTTAGTAGGCAAAAAAATTATAAAAATTCTGTCGGGTTAAGGCTTAGTGCCTTAACCCGCTGAAACACTAATTTAACAAGAAATGTTAATATATATTTTGAATGTTAAATATGTTAAGTATGTTAAGTATGTTATACAAGAAATGTTAAGTATATATTTTCAAATCAATATCTGTCTGCAAGGCTCTCCGTCTGTAAACTTAAGAAGATTCGTATTACATAGTTCATACAACAAGAAGTCTCCAGTTTCATAGGAAACTCGTTCCTCATCTTCCATCAGAAAAGTTAATCTAAATAACTTCTTCATAAATAAGTTAAAAATTTACATGATAATTTTTTATATATAAAATAAGATCGGTTCCTGTAAAAATCTTTGGGTGAAAGAAGTAATAAAGTATAAAATGTCATTCATCTGCATAAGTAAAACGAAAAAATTGAAAACTAAATTATTTGAACGGTTGCTTTAATTGTCTTTGCATGTAAAAGCACTTACAACTTTAAAACCCACCACGTAATAAACATTATTATAGAAATATCTATATTTCTGTGCTTTACACAGCTACTAAATATGCTATTTCAGTACCTTCCTTATTTATTAAAACCGGAAAGAGATATTTAAAAGCGAGGAACCCCCTTGTGAAGTACATGCGAATTAAATGCAAACTCATCAGTAACGGTATCGCGATGTCACAAATAACAGATAAGCGAGACGTAAGATGAAAACAAATAAGTGCGCGTGTTTATGTCTGGCGATGCGAAACTGAACTTAAACCACTGCAATTATTTCTAAAGCGCAGCAAACAAAAGAGTTTAAGAGCAGAGGCGGAGTTGTGAATCGAATGAGAAGCAGAAGAAAAGGGTCTAATGGGTGTTTCTCGTGGTCCTCCTTCACGCATGTTGTCAGCTCGAAACTCTATTCCCTTGATTCCTTCTTATCACTTCTTGCTTCCACCTCCGTTCTCAATTGTATCGCGGCAATCTATCATTACGAGAATCTAGGTTCCATTAATTCATTAAAGTCCCTCCCTCGTTGCATGGCTCGCTTTTCTTCAGCAGGTTCTGCCCAGTAGCTGTCTCGGTGTCATCCCACTGGGCAAAATACCCGTGAAGATTGCCTCACATTTTGCTCATTAAGAGGTTTCTTCTTTTTGTGTTTCTCGAATATTTATACCGTTCGCATTTCTTTTCCTCGGAGAGATCTCAGTACCATCAGCTACAAAGACACATTCCAAGAGATAAGCTATAATAGCCCAAGGGAATAAATATCCTAGTGTATGAAACTCTGAAAAAGAGGAAGTGAGTATTACTGATTTGCAATTTTATTGAGAATAAAAAATAAGCATATGAATTAAAACTATTTAAAAATTATAAAATAAGTAAATTATCAACAACCTGATAATACGAGAAAGTGTCAGTGTCATTTGAATCATCAAATGAAACTTCTGTATCCTATCTTGACTGCAAAAGCTAACTAATCATTTCGGAAATTATATTATAAAAAATGATCTCTGCAAACAACACATTAATCATTGTGTGAGGGATCAACAGACGCATCCTACGTAACGGATATATCATACATTAGTAACCCGCGCAGGACTATATTTATCGTCTCCCGCATGGAATATGCTAAGCATAATATCAAAGAAAAACATTTGTTTCTTTCATATTTTTCAAATAGTATTTTTTTAACTTTATTAACATTTCTGAATTTTATTATTCGCTTATTTTATTAGTAGTGTTATTTTACATTTAACGCTTCACAATTACAGAAGCTGACTGCATTAAAATAATTAAAAAATTTAAATCAAAATTCTTACCGAAATTAAGGAATATTTTATAATTGTCTAATAGAAAGAGAAACACTCTAACGTAAAATTTATGATGAAAAGAGACAAATAAGCAATCCTAGGAAATTTTTTAAATTGATAAAGTTTATTCATAATCTACGCCAGTCTGAGATCGCTTTTTGCCTAATCCAAAATTTTCGTCTATAGTCCATTTCTTTATGGATAGATGCAGTGTTAAAACTTTCTATGCTTGCCAATGAAAAGGGAGATCTCTCATTTAGCCTTGAAATCTGGGACTAATATAACTATATGAATGTACCTTATGTTAGGTATTAACAAAAAATGTATACAGCAAAAGTAATCTTTAATTTTACACATAATTATCAGGGTGTTTAAAAACAATAATTATTCAGATTACAAATGAGTATTTCAATTAAATTCTTTCTAAATTTTCCGATTATTATAATTGAATTTAAGTATAATTATTCCTTTTGTAAGGATCCATATGTATCAATTTTGTGAATTGTATCACTGATGTGGAAAATACATGAAAGAGCCATATTTAAAAATTTTTTGAAATTTCTGTTAAATTTTTCTCGAATATATTTCAGTATTTAGAAAATCAGTTAACTATTTTTCTTCTTTTATACACTTTTCCTATACGGTTAAATTTAAATAGACTTTTAGTCTCCATAATAAGAGTATTTTTATTTCATTTCTAGTGCAGAAATATTGACAAAGAGTTCCTGTCACTTTTTGGAACTGTTTGGTAAACTACCACTTGGACACATGTAAATAAATCAACGTAAATTTTATACTTTCATGTTAGAGTTGTGTAATTTAATGCAAATGAAAGAGTCTATAAACTGAAACAAATTGTTATGATATTCTCATACACTAAGGCTCAGGTTAGAAATAAGTTGAAATATCATAGTCCAGCAAATGAAGTACATTTTTTATAGGAGGCGAAGGAAAATAAATATAAGATTTGACCTTTCAAAGTTTTCAAGCTTTCTAATCTAAATAATAATTAATTTAATAACAACCTAGCTTTTAGATAATAAACATTAATACGAACTGAACTGCAACAAGCATGAAAAGAGGAAGAGTATCCGTTAACCAAATGGATTCCTTGCTTTATGGCAAATGAAGTTACACATGTTTCCAATAAACTTGACCTCATGAGTCTGTGAAAGAACATACAAAAAATTATAATTATAATGCAGTTTCGAAATTATTTTTATAAAGTATTATCATAATACACATCTCGAAATAATTATAGTACACATCTAGAAACAAAATTATTATTATAATACACATCTTGGTGTGTATTTAATTACGGCAAAGCACACTAGGGCTATCTGCCTAAGGGGGGGATGCCTTCGTGGAGGACTTTCTAAGGGAAACTGGCTCGTATACACGTTACACATGGGGAAAACCACGAAAACACCCATGCAGCCAGCCCGTTCGCAGGATTCGAACCTCAGACCGAACTACCGGTGTTCAGCGACTTTACCGCTCGGCCGCTCAATAATACACATCTTGAAAGAATAAACATTGTTTAAAACTTCAAATATGTTTGATAAATATATGTAAATGAAAAAAAAAAACATAATTGCAAGATTTTACACTAAGGAAGCCAGAAACATCTTTTGCCCTGTATTGCATTGAACATTTTGTCAACGGGCCTTTTAATAATAAAGTTTTTGAATGTGTAAATTAGGAATTTGTATGTTATACTTTTAACTATTTCTTTAAAATTACGCACTGTAATTAAATAATTATCTCATTGCATGCAATGTATGATACTTTTTAAATTTTAGTGAATTATACTGATACATTCTTAGCAAGCTTTGGTTTTGAATATTCTCTAGATTCAGATGTGGACACAATTATTAACGAGAATTTTGTCATAAAATTGTTGATTCCTGAAAATTAATTTGGGTTATTATTATTGAGACACAGAGAAGGAGGTTTTTCTAAATCCATACAAAAATTTCTCAATGTTATCTTCGGTTTTTGCTTTACTGTGGAACGAATGGAAAAGACCAGTAACTTCAGTTTAAAATATTTGTAACTTATTTGCCTGGTATCTGTATGTAGAGTTTTTCGATCTTACACATTACGCAGTTATGTTAAAAGTTAATTACATTAGACGTTGTAGAAGTTAATTGAGCTGCATTATCAGAGCTTTAGTAGTGTTTACTTATTAGTTAATAATGCATGCGCTTTAAACCGTTTTTTCACATCCCATTTTATATGCATATTTCTGTATTCATCACCACATTACTTTCTTATAAAGAATAGCAAAGGGACAAAATACTGAATACTGGTGGTTCATCCCGTGTTCGATTATCAGTGATTAAAAGTTTTAGATAAATATAAGCAGTGTACTCTGCACTTCTCCATGTATGTAACATTACAGAACATGAGTCAATATCCTCCAGAAGGTTTGTCACAAGCCGCCCTGATCGTTATAGTGGTTAACGATGGTTCTTATGGGAAGTTAACGATGGTTCTTATGTGGCGACCTCGAATCCGAGAAGAAGGTATGGAGTAAAAGTGCAGTTGTTTTGTGTTTTGTAGAAAGTTAAATACAGTCCATTCGAAAGAATCTTCGAGAATTTGGAAGTAGAGGAAGAGGGGTACATGAACCTTGGATCCGTCACTCAGGATGCTTGCTTTCCATCAAAACTGAATAGAAGCTGGGCAAAAGTACATTGAGGGCACAAGACCTTTAACATTACCTATAAAGTGCTAGAGATCTTTAACAAAGTGCCCAAGATGTTTAACTTCGCCTAATAAAGTGCCTAAGACCTATAACATCTGGTTCTGTCTTCCTCTTGGCCATAATTAAGACCTAATTAGATTATGGATTTAATCCATAGACCTAATTAAGATCAGAAGGCTAAGCAATAATAACAAGTTTTCCACGTATTGTGGCCTAATTCAACCTAAAACAAATTTTGCATGTCATCATTTCTGAGTATTAGCGGATATATGCTTGAGCATTGCTGAACATATTTGAGCATATCTGAACTTAGAACCAGAACCCTTCTTACATCGATGTTGCGTTTTTACTCATTCATAATATAAAAGGGAAGACATATTTTTCACATTTTCTAAACTATATTATTTTTACTGAGTTAAACTGGGTTAGTGCAAGAATGCTGCAATTTAAAATAATTTAGATATTTATTTTCATGTTATACCAACAAGATAATAAATAATAGCGTGAATGTTATTTATATCCTTATCCAAAGGCGAACATAAATGCAGATGGCGTTCCTATGAATATGTTATTTAATTGGCGTTGCATGTCTCTTTGCTCTTAACAAGATAGGCTTGGCTGAGGCTCATCCAATGATGATCCGTCAAATTAAGGCTCATCTGGTGATGAAGAAAGAAGCCGAGGCTTATCTAATGATGAGGGAGAAGCGTAGATCATACGCGTCTTCGGCAGCTCAATAAGAACAAATAGCTGCTTTGCTGAGGAAGGAATCTTGGTGGATGGATGGGTGAAGCCTAGGCGGAGCTGTTGATAGTTTCTATGGTCATAGTTTACGGCTACATTTAAGATCAGATAAAATTTTTAAAATTATTTCTTTAAATTTTTTCATATATTTTTCAGATAATTTCTAAGCCTGCGTAATTTTGATTCAATATAAACTGGGCTTCTGTGTCATAAAATAAGATTTGGTTGTAAATAAATTTCACTGCTTGTGTGTGCTTTTATTTCTCTTATATGTTCAAAAATTTATTAATAGTTTTATAACATTTTACGTATAGCAAAACTCTCTTATTCCTAAGCAATTAAAGTTCCAGCTAAGCCTGAAGGAAATGTTTCATACCTATTTAACACCAGAATCTAATAAAAAGAGCATATTTTTGTCACCAACGAATTAGAAATTAAACATTGTGTCAGATTTTGTCCTACTATATTTTCAGTTTTGCAATTTTTATAACTTATCATAAATTTAAATAGTAGAATATATTTCAGATTGTTTCGCATAATCTACATCTATACTGAGCGTAACATGAGAAATTTCTTGTTTGTATCAATGAAATGATCAAAATATGTGAGATGAGTGAAATCTATAAGGCAACCTGCCACGGTTCCGTGCGATAGTGGTCTTCTGTGGAAGTTGTTACATAAGAGAATATGACTGTCGGTGATGTTCAGTGCCTATGTTATTTATGTTCTCAAAAATACTGCTCATTTCCAAAGCTACTCGCTGAGAGAAGTTTCGCTGCATTTAGTTACAGCTTATTAAATTTAACTCTCAGAGAGGACTGTTTAAAACTGATATCATTGGTAATAAATTAGTCAGCAAATTCAGTAGCCAAATATAACTCAAGGACATTTGTAGAAGTACGAACGTATTAAAAATTCTAAGAATATTTAAATGTTAATAGTTTCATCCAACAGTAATATTAAAAGCAATCATTTAAATTTACGAATGCTAAAAAGTTTTAATAGGCGATTAACTTAAAGAAAACACCATTATCGTAATTTTTATTTCAAATGGTTGCTATGGTGACAGCTTTTCAAAAAACCAATAATTGTTTATCAGAGTGCTAGTTTGATGGATAGATTTATTATATGTTAAAGTCCTCGGAAAGTGTAAATAATTTTAAATTTTTCATTTAATAAAACTGTTTCATTAGTATCGAGATTATGTTTTTACAGTCATCATTATATGGTGACTGCACACCAATCTTTAGAGTTACTATACTGAGTTTCCAAATATGTATGACATTGAAAAAGGAATCCCATCAACGCAGATTTCGAAAAATTCCATCAGTAAGAATTTCGAAAAAAAATCGCTTCCAAATTGTAAAAAATAATCGCATTCACAGAAAAATGTAACTTCACGAATGTTCTTTATTTTACCATTTTTATGTGTACTAGTACTAGTATAAGGATGACTCTAAGTCATCAAACGTGAAATTTTTATAATGCCCCTATTTTCTTGGACTCTATATGCGTAGTATTGTCTTACTCCAGAGACCTAATTTGTATCTCTTACATCTATTGTTATCTTCATATTTATTCTTTTCCTTAATGGTTTCAACTGATTTATTAGTGAAGTACACGCGCATTCACTGAAATTTTACATTCAGTATATTTTGAAAATTTTCTATTGTAAAAGGCTGAACTATATTATGCGAATGAAAGAAATACTTATAAAAGGTCAAAATACTTTTTTATCTATGAAAATTTTCACTTTTAGAATAAAGCATTTTTAAGTATTCCTATTTCATCTCTTAATACTCGTATTTATAAATAAAAGTTATACAGCGATAAAAAGTAAGAGTATTCAATAGCATTTTATTGTGAAATTTTCATATAATACCTATAATTAAATTCCCTTCTTTATAATAAAATTTTATTGATATCTTTTGATATACTCTATTTTAAATATTATAGAAATGTATGATATCTGATATATTTATGATAACTGTTTTTGATATACTGTATATTTTATTGATGTTTGACTTGTGTATATATATAGATATAGATATAGATAGACATATATACATATATATTAATTTCTTAATAAAATAAATTATATATATATAATTATATTTATATATATATATATATAGATATATATAATATATATATATATATAATTATAATATATATATGTGTGTGTGCTAGCGCTGGCATGTATTTTATTTTTATTTATTTGTAATGTATTTTTATCATTTATTTACTTATTTAATGTATTCTCTTTTTTTGTTTTATTTCATTATTGAGTAAATTATAGAAATACCTATTGACTTACCTCTCAAATCTCGCTCTGTTGTAAACTACACTTCTTATATACGGGGAAATTTCTTTACTGTGGCTTTATTTTTCTGCTTTATAACTTTCTACTTCTTTTATATTTATGATCGTGAAAAAAAAGTTTCTTGATTGCTTCGTTCTGTTGAATTCTTTATTCATTCATTTTTAATTTGTTATTAATTTTATTTGAAAAATCGTCATCACAGATGGTAAAGAGGAAAATCCGTTTCTTAGAGATGTTTAATAACTTAGATTTAGAAGAAAGAAAGCAGCCAGCTTTAAATCTGTATTATGCTAGTAGAATTACAATTCATGAAAATACATCTGAAGTCGCTAAAATTAGTAAGAATTCATTGCTTGTAATAATTCCCTCAGGGCAATAAATCAGCATGA